AAATACATATATGTATATTATTAGCGAAACCATTATTTATAGTGTTGGAAACACACTTGCTTTTGGTTTAGTAATGTTACAGAGACTCGATTGAATCGGAGAAAGCGGGTTTTCAGCCAAGTTCACCACTTAGGGAGGGTTTGTGGCCGTGAAGGGGTTTACGGCCGTGAACTGTTCTCGGCCGTGAACAGCCCCTCGAAGGGTTTACGGCCGTGAATGGTGTTCTTGAAGGGATTATGAACTTTTGAAGGGTGTACGGCTGTAAACAGGTTGCGACCCTTGAAGGTTTGAAGATTTGAAGGGTGTACGACCGTAAACTCAAGAACAACAACACTTGTTTTGACGAAAAACTGATGTTTTGATGCTTCCCAACGAGTTCTAAGACGGATAGAGTGATAGATGAAGAGAAATCTTGAGTTTTCTTGTGTTTTCGGGTGGGGGTTTTTAGAGAGAGGGAGTGTGTTCGCGGTCAGAAAAGCTCAAATGAAGGTGGGAGTCTCGTATATATAGGCTGGGGGGGTATGGTCGGTGGTTGGGTCCAGCCGTGAACGGCCCACCAGCCGTGAACGGTTTACGGCCGTGAACACCAGTCAGGCCGGGAACTGAGGATTTTCGACGGAAACTCGAGTTTTTCACGTGATTTTGGTTCCGACTCTTATATAAATTTAATTATATAAAACTTAAATGACTTTCCAAACCATGGAATTTGACGGAACAAATAAATGTGAAATCTATTTAACAGAAAATGACTAACTTTAACGAAAAAATGTTCGGGTTGTCACAGACGATGCCAGAAGAGGGTTGGACCGATGATAAAGGGGCGCTTCTCTCATTCTTAATGTTATCATAAACGAGACTTCAATTACTCTGTTTAATCTAGAATCGAACCCAGAATCTATAGAATTGTATAATTGAAGATTCGTTTTTTTATCATTCAATGAGCATATTGTATTTCATAAAAATTGGGAGCAATATAATCCTTACGTAAAGGTCATCCTATCCAACTTTCAGGAATTAATATACGTTTTAAACGGGGATGATTATCATAAGCGATTCCCAACATATCATAGGATTCTCATTCTTGAAAATCCACACTTTTCCAAACCCAAAAAACAGGCGGAATTCTAGGATCCCTCCTCGGGGCAAATAATGGGTTATTTGTTTATTTATTTTATTAAGTTAAAAAATATAAATTAAATTAATTAAAGTATTACATCATTTAAAAAAATGTAAATTTCAAATGTACATAAAGGAGATAAAAGTAATTTTAGATGTATAATAAAAAATAAATTATAAGGGGATGAAAGTAATTTTAAATGTATGGGACCAAAATTATTAAAACCATCTAAAAATAAATCACCCCACTTATCAAACGTTTTTTTTGGAAGAAAACAATATTTTTTAACCAAAAAAAAAACAATTTTTTTGCAATTTTGTAAAAATATATAGCCTTTTTCTAAAATATAAAAAAATAAAAAAATTAGAGCTTCAAGGCAACATGATGCGTGTGAAAAAGCAAGAAAAGAGATGAAGCATTCACGCTACTTTCTCATAAAGAAGCTCCCTTTTAATAAACCCACCTCCATTTTTGTAAAAGCTTTGATTACTTGCTAAGAAACCCTCTGATACCCGAAAGTGATTTCAGAATCGCTTCCCTTTGGTTCAAATGGCGTCGACATTGTTGCTTGTTGTCGTATTCGTGTTCGATCTCGTTGCTTTTGCACTTGCTGTTGCCGCCGAGCAAAGGAGAGCTTCTGTGAGTTCTTTCCTTCTTTAAAATTTCCCCAACTTCATCTTCATCTCTTTGTGTGTGTTGTGTTTGATTTGTTATGGGTATTGTTTGTTTCATCATGTTAGTGATTAGTTTAATGTGTATTTAAACATAATTTAGTGTGATTTTTGTTTCAATCCAGTTCAAGCCTCTATTAGTAAATTCAAAATCTGCATTAAGCCCTTTGTGTTTTTTGAGAAATCTTTTCTGTTTTAAGATATTCTTTCCAACAGATCAACTTAGTTATCTATTCCTCCTCAATGTTCAAATTAACCCTTGTCAATTTCGAAGCTAAAACTGATTTATTTGACTTCTAAAACCCAAAGGTAGAATATAGCAATGGAAGGAGGAATGTAGATGCTTTACAGTGGTATTACAAGTTTCTGCAGTAGTCCTTCGGGTTTTTTAGCTCAAAATCTTCTCTATTTTAAATTATTAAGCTTTTCTAGATGAATTGAGAATAACCTTTTCAACTAGAAGTTAAAAAACCAGTTCATTTGACTTGTAGAAGTCAAACATGGACCCTAATTTTGCAAGGTGTAAATGCTTGTCTCACAATTGGATTAGTAAAAATCCTTGTGGTTGTGGGTATTCCATGTTTTGTCATATGAATGTTTAAATGAATCTTTTGGAAGAATTGTTACCGTTGCTTTTGCTTTTGCTTAATTCATTAAATATTTGGTAGGCCGCACTTAGTTTTGAAAATCAAAAGTGAAACTTTTCAAATTCAAAATCTGCATTTACACTTTATGTTTTTCAAAGTCAGAATATTTTCTATTTGAAGGTTATATTATAAATTATTGTAGCTTCTTGATATCTCATGATTTTGTGCTTAATTTGTTTTCTTGGAAGAGTACTTGCTTCCACATTTACTAAATTTCTTCTTTTTATACTAAGTAGTAGTGTTCCACAAATAACAATGAAAATTCAAAATCAACATAGGGCCATAGGCACATTTAGAACCCCCTCATGAAAAATCACATAACTAAATATGGGTTATATTGCAGTTTTTCATTCCATTCCATGGCAGAACAAAAGAAAAACACCCTTTGGCTAAGGAATGAAAACTAACAAAATAGAAGGAATCACATCACCTCAAGAATAGTCCATTCCATTCCAAAAAGCAAAACAAACACTTATAGTTTTTTTTATTCCAATGGAACGAACCATTCCATTCCCTCCCCAATTCCATCATCCTAAACACTAACTTAGGCCATGGTCATGGACCTAGTTGACCAAATGATTTAAAAACCACGGTAGAAATAAGTAAATAATTGACATCTTCTCAAATACATAAAATACCCTTGACAAATAAACGAATCTCTTTGAATCAATGCTACGAGTCATTTCATAAAGATATAGGTAAATCTAACTTGGAATCCAATGTTTTATTGTATGATAGGCTCGGATTGCTCAAGATACAAATTCAAGATATTGTGTTTATGAGTCAGATATAGCCACCGGTTTGGGTGTAGGAGCACTTTTATTCCTCCTTTTGAGCCAATTCCTTGTAATGTTTGCAACCCGTTGCATGTGTTGCGGGCGAGCCTTGAGCCCTGGTCGTTCCAGAGCATTAGCCGTCTTCTTGTTCATTACCTGCTGGTAAAATTACTTTCTTGCCCTTCCAACCTACATTTTTACTTTTCATATCAAACCATTTATATTCACAAGAAACAAAAATGTACACTCGGTCACCTAGAGGGCCGCTGTATCCCTAATTTACATATCACATGATGCTCTTGTGACAGGACAGTGTGGGCCAGGGGTTACTGTAAGAATAACTTTTTTGCAGAAACAACTTCTGACAAAAAATTTTTGTGTCGGTTTTTTTTAGGGTGACTTTTATTATCGCTGAGGCATGTTTGCTTGCGGGTTCGGTTAGAAATGCATACCACACAAAGTATAGAAGTGTGCTTTCGGCTAATCCTCCTTCCTGTGAGACTTTGAGAAAAGGCGTGTTTGGTGCTGGGGCTGCGTTTGTGGTGTTTACTGGGATTGTGTCTGAGTTTTATTATGTTTTCTATTCCAAATCTGATGATGGTGTCATCCCTACAAGAGATAATGGCATAAGAATGGGAGCATTCAACTGAACTTTTGTGAGGAGTTTGATAAGTTGTTGTAGATCGTAGATTTTGGGTATAGAACATTTATCATATGGTTGTACTTTTTATTGTTGTACTTGAAGTTGAGGATGTGGTTAATGGTTATTAAATTCATTTTTGTTGTTTAATTGTCGTTTTATTTATTTATTATGTCTTAAGTTTTGTTTTTAAGTTGTGACTGAATTGTTAGCGGGGTGAGAGGTGAGAATTGATAAATGATGTCTTAAGTTCATGTTTGAATGTGACCTTTTTTGTTCTGGGAAGATTGTGATTTATATGATCATGGATTTTGATTACGATCGTCATGTTAATATATGGTTGAGCAAATTACAATAATGGTCCCTATGGTTTAGGGTAATTTGCGCGTTTGATCCCTAACTTATTTTTTTAACTCGGAAGGTCCCTACTGTTTGTTTTTATTACGCACTTGGTCCCTTTCTTATCTAAAAATACTATTTTGCCCTTGATTTTTTATTTTATTTAAATAAACATACCCCCAACCTCACCCCCTCACCTTAGGTTACCTACCCCATCATTTTTCCCTATTTAAACAATAGTCATTTTAGATAACACGGGGACCAAGCGTGTAACAAAAACAAACTGTAGGGACCAAGTGCGTAACAAAAACAAGCAGTAGGGACTTTCCGAGTTAAAAAAATAAGTTAGGGACCAAACACGTAAATTACCCCAAACCATAGGGACCATTCGTGTAATTTACTCTATACGGTTGGATAGCTCTTGCCTCTTGTATGCACTATGCACATATAGTACAAGAAAGATAAATAATTTTTTAATTTGTTAAAAGATTTGTTTTTTGTTGTTTCATTAAAGGTTGTAATTCCCCTCTAATAAATAAAAACTTTTTTGTCATTTGTCATTCTTATAGGTTTTCTTACATGTCTATTTTATGGCAATTTTAGATTAAATTACATCTCCATGTTATTTTAGGGTGTTTTTCTTCTTTTATTAAATGACATCTAATATCTATATTTAAGTTTAACTTTATTGTAAATGTTCCTTCCAATTTAAACATCCTGAATTTTAGCATCACTACATAGAAAGTTTTCATAATTCGTTGTATAACGCTCTGATATACCTTATAATTTCAAATTCATTTTGAAATTCAATTATTTATATTTATTAATAGAATATTCTTGACCATGTTTGTGAAATTTTCTTAATTTAAATAACTAAATAAAATTTTTAAATATCTACGTAGATAGGGCTGTAAACGAACCGAACGAACACGAACAAAGGCTTGTTCATGTTCGTTCGTTTAAGTTAGCCGAA